ACAGCAATGGCTGATCCTCAGTCCTACGCTAAGAGGCCCCAAGTTTCAGTGTCCCGGTAATCACTGCCAGCACCTCTGAGAGAAAGCCGCCCTCGCATTCCAACGGGTGCCAGACAGTCCAGTTTCCCCCCATATGAGTCTGGGTCCCCAGAGACTCGCCTGAAACTGGAGATTGGAGTTCAGAGCCCTCGGGAGCTTGAGACTCCCTCCGGATTCCAAAAGACCGCCGCGTCCTCGGGTGCCAGCCCCTTTCCGCGCGCGCGAGCCCCGTACCTCTGCGCTTCTCTCCTGCAGCTTCTCTGGGTCTCAGTGTGCCTTTCCTTCCTTCTAGTTGTAGAGTTTACAGTCAGCCAGGCTTCCTATGGTTCTGGATGAAGTCCGTATTGTTTCTCTGAGGTATTAATCAATTGTTGTGAGCGGCATTAATTTCCCGGTGTTTATCTCTGCCGCCATCTTAGTTTCTCCCCTATTTTAAGCTTTATAGTTCTACAATGGGGAACTAAACGGCTTAGAATTTTATCTTGTTAAGACTAGTGGTTGAAGACATGAGTGATAGAGTTGAAATACATTCACTTCACCAGTGATGTCCTCCTGGATGTATTTTTTTTAAAAAAAAAAACAATGCACACATTCCCCGGGGCTGCAATTTACTCTAAGTGCCACTATATGTCATGGTTCACTGTGAAATGTAGGGACATGGTCAACTTCAGGCTTTTTAGCCCGTCAAACCGATGAGCAGAGTTTAACACCCAGCATGATGTCAGCAGTTCTGGGGATTGCTGGAGTGGAGCCATCCTGCACTTAACATGGGATTGTTGTTTTCAGCTGAAGTTCCCGCTCGGGAGGCGAGGGCAGAGTGACTGTGGTGTCAGAAAGCAGCTCAGCACGCTGGTGGCGAGAATATCAAGGAAGAGTCTGTACGGTGGAGTCTCTTAATCTCTCTCAGTACCTGCCTAGATCTCGCCCTCTCTGACCTTCCCCATCCCCAGAGTGCAATGGTGAGGCAGGAGGGGCATTCACTTTCCACTCCAAGCACCTGTCACATCATCTTTTCAAGAAAATAGCTCCCTGCCTAAGAGGTATGCAGGGATACATGTAAAGTTCATTCACTCATTCAATAAACATGCACTGAGCATTCACTGTGAGTCGTGCCCCAGAAGAGGTGCAGGGGGTGTCACAGTGGGAAAAGACAGAAACCCCTGTCCTCAGGAGCTTACATTCTCGTGGTTTTAAACATGTCTCATTCTCATCACTCACAGAGGAGGAAATCGACTTGACCAAGGACAGATAGCAAAGGGCAGTGCTAAGATTTTAACTAAAGCCAGCCAGTTCTCCAAACCCAGACCCTTGACTGATGCTATACGATCTGCAGTGGGCATTTTGTTGCTGTTTTGTTTTTACCACCCAACACCCTCTTGACATTCTTCTGGTACTCGAACTTTTGGGTTGCTTCAGGAAAGCCACTCTTCCCAATACCATCTAGAAAGACCGTCAGTCAAGGCATCCTGCCCTCTAACTGTGTAGAGGACCTATCTATATCATCCCAACGCTGGTTCCTTGCTACCCAGCCCTCCTGAAATTAGTGTTTCAGCCTTGCCTGCAATTCTGTGAGCCATCTCATATTCTTCCCCAATATTTTTTTCTTCAGTTAGTACTTCTGTTGCATGCAACCAAATAACAGGACCAACCCATGTTCACTCCACCTTCAGGACTTCAAGCAAGTTTTGTTGTCTGATAAGTAGGAGGGACAATATCTGCGTTGCAGGAAGCAGGAGGAAGGGTCTTATTTCCTTGAACTAGGCCTGGCCAATATCCCTGGTTTCTAGCACCTTCTTCATACTCTGCACTCACCTTCCTTCTCCCCGGAGAAGCTTCCCCATTCTTTACTGGAGCTGCCAGACATACAGATGCTGCACACTCAGCAAAAGCCGTGCAGGCACCTGAGCTATATTTGGGCTTCCCTGAGAACACAGACGCAGCCTCCTGCTCTCTGGCTGGCCGAGGAGAGTGTAATTAATGGTACTCTTCTTCAGAGCATGGACACAACAGGTGATGGCTCAGCAAGTTCAGAATCACAGCCACAGCCAATCCCTCCTCCCTAGGTCTATTTCTGGATCACCACAGGTGCTTATTAAGGTCATGTGTCAGGGCTACAGGGAGAGAAGAGGCCTATCTTCGAGCACTTGTCAGTTAGAATTGCATGGAGTTGCATGTAACCAGATAAAGCCTTATTTCTCTCATGTAACTAGAAGTCTAGGGATAAGCAGTCAAGGCTGGTTCAGAGGCTCTAAGAATTCATTAAGGACTGAAGCTATTTCTATCTTCCTCTTCTATTATTCTTAGCAGGTGGCTTGTACCCTCATAGTCACAAGATGGCTGCTCCACTTCCAGAAATCTCACCTACATCCCAGGTAAGAATGAAAGCAAAGGCAATGAGAAAGGGCACATGCCTGCTGAGTCCCCCCACCCCTTCGTATGAGGAAGACAGTAGATTCTCAGGAGGCCCTATCCAATTTCCACTTACATCTCAATGGTCAAATAGGTCAGAGGACCACCCTTAGGACAAGAGATATAGGTACGTATTTTTAACTGGGCACATTTTATCCAGACAGAGTTGGGATTTTGTTACTAAATAAGAAAGGGAAAATAGACACTGGTTAAGCAGCTAGTAGTGTCTGTTGCCAAAGGTGAAAAACAGAATGAATCAGTGTGCAGGAACCCTCTAGGGGCTGAGTCTTTGTCCTAACCCTGTATGGTGAAAGTAGTTACCTGCCTCATTCTTATTATTATTCATGTTATTTAGCAAAAGAATAAAAAGTAATAATGTGTAGTTTGATCCTGTTTTGTTAAAAATTATGTATATATCTTTATACATGTAATGATTGTGATATAAGTTTGTGTGTATATGTATATTTGTGTGTATGCTCATATGTTCACCAAACGGGTGGTGGAATTGGAGGTGATTTTTTTTGCTGTCCTTTTTGTACTTCCCTAACTTGTTTATGATGTGCATGTACCATTTTTTACAAAAGAATGCTGAACTTTCTGGTCAAGAGGGCTGATAAAGAACATCTGTTTATCTCTCCTCCCTCCAAACATCTCATTGAAATAACAAAAGGTGCATTTCAAAGTACTAATGAAAGCTATCAAAAAATAATAAGACCTACTCTGGGAATTATGAGGTCTAAAATCTGGCACATAGCACTTGGTGATTATTCTTTGCATTCCACATCCACTTGTAATTCCAGAAAGAACATTAAGACAGAGGCTTTTAACCCTTCTTGGGCCACGGACCCCTTTGCAGTCTGATGAAATCTGTGGACCTCTTCTCAGTGTAATGCAGGGCGAGGTTTACAGTTGCGAGGATGAGAAACAGTTTATTCTTACATTATTATTTATTAATCATTGTGGAAAAATAATAAATGAGTAGTTTATATTATTTGGAGGGCCATGAACTTTGTAAGTCATTATATTATTTATTTGTATTACAACTGTTAACCTACTTTTGCCCTTGCCTGTATTTTTAAATGAATAAACTCCCATACATAGGATTTTAAAAGATATCATTTGTATTGAAATGCAGTTATCAAAATATTTAAAAACAAATCTGTCATAGAGTAACATATGGGCTTCTATATTAGGAGATTTAGCAGTGTGTCTAATAACTACTATAATTTCCAAGTCGTGATGAGCATAAGTGATATTTTGAGATAACTTGAACCATGGCATTGTGACAGGAAAGTATCTGTTTTCTATTGGTGAAGAAACCACAGGAATTGCTAATATGACTATGGTTTGTTGCTCATGTTCATAAGCAAAGGAAATGCTGAATTTAAATTGAACTTGGTGAAAACTGAGATCATTTTTGTCATCCAACTTTATGGTCCTCCAAATTTAACAAAATATGTGTTCTCATAGAGCTTTGCTTAAATCTGTTTATCTGTTTGGCCTCTTTTTCGTCTCCGTCTTTCCTCAAATGTGTGATGATCCTGGGCTGTCGCACGGAGCAAAGGGTGGGACCTGGACTAAAGTTCAT